CCTCCTCCTCCTCCTCATCATCATCATCATCATCATCATCATCATCATCATCTATGCTGGTTTTAAATCAGCAACCTCCTATGTACTAGAGAAAGATCATAACCACGACAGCTATTTTCAGCACTAGGGGTAAGGGAAAGATCTACTAGAAATTCAAATCATTGTAATTTTTTACTTGGTTGAAGGCATATTGCTTTTTTTGTAAAGTGGCTGGTGAATTGTTGGAATTAGCATGTTAAGGAGTTAAGCATTCCAGGTATAAGAGATAGGAGCATTTGAGGCAAAATAAAGGAGGAAAAGTACTTTAAAACCTCATCAGGATAGCACACATGGAGGTCATTTTAATGGTGATTAGAAGTTGAAGACATGGTGACATTTTCTGTTTCTAGCATTCACTAACATTTGTTGGCCCATTCTAGCATTGGGGTAATAATGTGGATAAGCTTTTAGATATTCAAGATCAGCAAGTTCATGGAATAAAAAACAAAAAGGGCATGAAACATAAAACAGTGATTATATGGTTGAACTTTGAATGTATGTAACTGCAGTTGAACACAATCAAAATAATCACTTAGCTCTCACATTTATTCTCTAAAATATTTCCTTTTCAATAATATTACATTTTCTGAATAACTGATTTTGTTGTATATACTTTTATTTCCCTGCTACAATGTTAAAATATGACTGGGTTTCATTAAGTTTATTCATCTTCAGAAAAGATCCATTAAAATTAATGTTAGCTCACACCAACTTAGATCTTTCATTTCAAAGTGCCTAATCAAAAAACCACAGCTCTGTATCCAGCTCTTAATGATGCTCTCCAGTAATGTTCATAAGGCAATCATTTTCTCATAAGATTTTTTTTTAATTTTCAGATCTGAAATACACACATGCACTCACAAATATTCAAAGTTTGAATAGATGAATCTATTACTTTGATTTTCTTCCACACTTTAAAGGAAATATAAATAGCTTTTTTTAATGTATGTATTTAAAATGTTGTTTGCAAATCCTTATAACTCAGACAATCTCTCACCACTGCCAATATTAGCATTGGATAAAGAGATTTGTAGCAAATAAATTCAGAGAGACTCATATTGAGAAACTGAGATATAGAATCAGAAACCTAGCAGTACACCTGGAGTAATTTTCTCAAAGCCTCCTTCACTTCCTTGTTCCTCAAACTGTATATAAGGGGATTGACCATAGGAGTGAGGATGGTATAGAATACAGAGAACAGCTTGGGTGAATTTCTCATTAGGGGGTCATCTGGCAGGAGATAAACAATCATTAAGGATCCATAGAAAATGGTAACAACAATTAGATGAGAAGAACAAGTGGAAAATGCCTTTTGCCTCCCAAAAGTGGAAGGGATTCTCAAAATGGCCAATATGATGAAAATGTAAGTTGTCATGGTCAACATAAATAAAGGAAAGGTAAATATAGAAGATAGCATGAAGGCTACTTCAATAAAGACTGAAGTATCATCACAAGCCAGCTTACTCAGAGGTACAAAATCACAATAAAAGTGGTCAATTTCATTGAAGCCACAGTATGTTAGCTGTGTCAACCATGTGACTCCCACTGAGACAGGAAAACAGCCACCTACCCAAGACCCAGTTGCTAAAGAGATACAGACCTTATTATTCATGTAGAAGTGATATTGCAATGGCTTGCAAATGGCTAAATACCTATCATAAGACATCACAGATAGGAGACATGTTTCTGTAGTCAACAGGAACCCAAATAAATATAACTGTATAAAACAACCAGAGAATGTGATTTTTCTATTCCCGGTTACGAAGCTGGACAGCATTCTGGGCAGAATTGTTGACGTATAGCAAATCTCCAGACAGGACAAGTTCCCCAGGAAGAAATACATGGGAGTATGAAGACGCCTGTCAGTTGCAACCAAAATAACAAGGAGAAGATTCCCGGTCATGGTCATAAAGTAAGTGATCAAAAATAGTAAGAAAAACAGAATATGCAATTCAGGTTGATTTCCAAATCCCAGCAAGATGAAGTCTGTGATGGCTGTTTCATTTACCTAATGGGGGGAAAAAATGCATTAGTTACATATACACACACACACACACACACACACACACATACAGTATATGAAAATACAAGTTGT